ATTCTGTTACAGTTCACTTTCTAATCTTCCCTGCAGGAAGCAGGATCAGAATGAAAAAAAAATATCTTCCTTAATCCACTCCCTAAAAATCAAGTTCTTCATAGCAACTAAACCGGTTTCAGTCTTCACACCCTGGAAAAAGGAAGCAGCTCGAAGGCAATGTCTGTGCTGCATCATGGGACTCTCGATAAATTGTGGGAAGTTTGCCAACTGATGATGACATCATGGGGAAGGGAGAGACGAATGCACAGACAGTGATGCTATTTGGAAGTCTTCATTCTTGAGGAAGCCAAGAGAAAATAATGATCATAGGGAGGGAGAGAATCTACCCAGTGCAAGGAAAAAAAATGGTCCTCTAAGAAGAGAATTCTTTACCTTTTTCTATTTTTTAATAAAACAGAAAACATAGTTTTGTGCTGTAAGTAGCACATCCGGAACTCTAGACAAAGATTGTGGTAAGAATGATCCATAAATATTTATGGGTATACTTTGCTCTCTGTGGGACCTAATCTGTTGAGGAGCTTTGGATAAAATCTAAGAGTGGAAGCCAAGGATCAGTCTCAGGGCACTCTTCAGAAGAATGGTAGGGTAGGAAGCAACCTTAAAAGTTCATCTGGTCCTTTCCTGTGTCTAAATAGCTGAATTGTCCTAGATACATCTTATGTTTAAATACACTGAGGAGTAGCCATTCTGCCTAGAAAAACATTTTTCATGTCTACGTTTATCCAGTCTGTTGATAAGCTCTTCTTGATATTGAACTCAGATGAAGTTTAAACCCCCATGACTTGGAATCTTGCCTTACACATGTACTAGCTGTGTAATCCTGAGCAAGTCACTTAAACTTTTTTAAGCCTTCATTTCCTTATCTGTAAAAAACGGGCATAATGGGGCAGCTAGGTGGCTCAGTGGATAGAGCACCAGCCTTGAAGTCAGGAGGACCTGAGTTCAAATCCGACCTCAGACCAAGCACTTAACACTTACTAGCTGTGTGACCTTGGGCAAGTCACTTAACCCCAATTGCCTAAAACAAAAATGGGCATAATAATAGCAACCACTTCATATTATTTTGGGAGGATCACATGAGATACTGTTTGGGAAGCACTTCACAAACTTTAAAAAATGATACAGATATGTGAGGTGGATGAGGAGGAGGAAGATGATAGTGACGATGTCTTTATTGGAGATGAAAAAGTCATTATCTGAGAAATCATTTTTAAAGTATTATAACTGGAAACTATTATCCTTACCATACCTTTTCTATGCTTTTTATTTTTAAACTTTTTAATCATTTTCACAGCTTTCCCTGCATGAACTATCAGAATTCGCTACTCTTCATCTACATTGTGGCCTCAGTTAGATGTAATGCTCTGATGAAGATCTGAGCACATAATAGACTGAAATGGCAGGATTCATATGAGTAAGAATTTCTCTCTCATAACTCCTTAATTAAAACTTCCCTTGGGGATAGAAGTTATCTTCATAAAATAATATAAAAGCCAACACTTTGCTAGTCTAAGATGATGTTCATAATTTTAATTGTTTCCAAGGCACCAGCTCCCAGTTTTCTGAGCATTTTTCCCATCTGACAAATTCAGCAAATATTTATAGACTAGTTCATATGCACTCTCAACTTGCGATCTTAGTATTATCTGAGTAAGATCATTCTAATTCTTTGTTGTTTTATTTTCATAAAGTTGATAGAGTCCTCAGAGTCCAATCTATGCCTGACCAGGAATCAGCCCTTTAAAACCTTCACCTTCCACCTGAAGCCTTCCAGTGAGGATGAACTCACTTAACACCTTCCCCCACCCTCACCAAGGCAGCTCGCTCCACTCTAGATGGCTGCAATCGTTAAGACTTTCTGCTTTGAGTTGAAATTTGCCTTCCTTTCCCTTCTATCCATTCATCCCAATTCTGGGGCCAAACAATCCTAATCCTTCTTCCCTACAATAACCCTTCAGATATTTGCAAATTGCTAACACATTCCCCCAGAGTCTTGTCTTCTTTATTTCTTTCAATCAATGAGTATAAGACATAATTTCTAGCTCTCTCATCCTGCTTTCAGATCTAAGTTGACTTGTTTATCTTGGTTGTTGGTTTCTGTTACCTTTATTTACTGTGCTGGCTTATATAACTGTTAAATCACTGTTGTTGTTCTTCTTTAAAATGGGTATCACTATTGATTCTACACCTTCCTTCCTACTTCATATTTTTCTTTGGAGATGACATGAAAAAGACTTGGAAAAGCACTTGAAATGAAGTTAAAAACTTGGGAAGATGAATTTGCATCATGCAGTTGCTAGTTGTGGGGGTCTGCTAAAGCCCTGAGTAGAAAACCCTCAAATATTCAGCCATTGATGTTCTTAAAAATAAGTACTTTATTATAAACCTCTGCATTAACCATCAAAACATAAATGAGGGGTCATTATATCCAGAAGTTGTTGTCCTTTTTCTGTCCATAAGAAAAAAGATCTTTGATTATGGGAAAGTAAGTTGCCCTGTGCTGCCCAGAGTTAGTTTGACTTACAGTGCAAAATGATAACCTTTATTTGTTACCTAGAGGGTCTTTCTGCACTCTTGGAGCCCTTATGATGTGTGTATGAGGGATACTGATTCCTCACCAACACTAATCCAATTTTACTACAATCTTACAGGGATTTCGTTGTCAAGATTTTTCAGAAATAGTGAGAATACACAGCAGTGATGAACAGAAAAGCACTTGGCACTGCGCCTGGCATTGATTACCTCTAGGTATCAAATTTACCATATTCTCCAATCTGCTTCTAGAGAGAAGTCCTGGTGTAACTGATTTCTGATCAATATGGTTTAAAGAATCAATGAACAATCACATATTTTTGGCCTACATTTACTTAGTTTATTAAAAAGAGCTCCAGGAAATTGAATAAGTAGTTCATGATTTGTTTTGCCCCCAACCCTCACCAACAGTGACACACCCATATGAAGGTACATGCATGTATACTATAACACAAGCAGTGTGAAGAAATTATTAAGCATACATATTCCTCAATATCCCAATGGCAGTCATGTCTGAACATTGTCTAGAAAAATGGGAGTGCCATAGAGGGTAGACAGTAATATATTTGCTCTGTCTTTTGATGTATTGGGCATTTAAAAAACAACAGTGCTGATGGTGAAGGCCCCTGTTTCTGTATGGCAGAAGTCTTTAGTAACAGTGAGTGTCCAGACTATGTTTGCCCTTTTGAGGTTGGGAGGGTGGGCACAGCAACTGGAGACCATGGGCCTCATCCTTTGCTGTTCAAGATATCACTTTTAAAGTTTGAATGTTGTGAGCCTGAGGCTAGGATGGAGGCAGGAAGGATGGTGAGCAGAGCTTGAGAAGGTGGCCAAGGGATTATCCAGAGGATCCATTATGAAGATATCAACAGTGCCCCCTCCTCCATCCCTGAAGTTACTGCTGCTGTTTACAAGGTTCTTCTGTTTCCTTTGTGAAGAAGCCAAGGCAAAGGGAAAAGAGCTTGATTCACAGTAGAACAGTTCTCATCTAAAGTTCTAGAACTTAAGGTTACTGTCTTGCAAGAATGGAAATTTACAACACTATCAGACCAGCTGACAGGGAATATTAATAAACACAAATAATGCTTGCTTCATACCTGAAGCAAACCAAAAAACACAGAACAATCGCTCCCATTTACCTCCACCCATTCCCCACCCCCACGCACCCAAATCACTCACCCTACAGACACCCACCTCAATTTACATACACACACATAAAGTATAAAATATCCAAATATTAAACTGTCCTAGGAAATCAATTAAAGCTCCCCCCATCCCCCTGTTACTTCATGTTCTTACAAAATAGAGAGAATATATCTATGCAGCTAAGTCCAAGCAGGGTAACTGGGAATCCAATAGGATTTTCTGGCTTCTGATTTTTAAAAATGATTTTATTTCATTTTTAGCATTTGGCTGCTTCTCCAAATGGAAGAACATTAACACTTACCTAAGCAAGGACAGACCTGAGCCTTACTCTTAAACAAAATGAAAGGTAAATTGTCCTTTTGTCCTGTGGCTGTCACTATACCGAGAACATTAAGCTTGGTGGGTGCCATGTTTTCTATAGCCTGAGCTGCTATAAAAGAACCCTCCCCCCCCAAAAAAGATTAAATGCAAAATGCTGGTAGCTATTGCCTAAGCAGCCCTTGGAGCGCAGGGAAAAACACGAAAGCGGGGTCCATGTTGCAAGGAAACTATTTTGGAAGGCACTTTCTTTCTTTCCTTCTTTTTGTTTTGGCTCTGGGACCCAGAATTTAAGTCTATGCCAATAGTTTACAGAGTTATGGAATGTTGGAATTGAGAAGAGCCTTAGTGATTATTTAGTTCTATCTTCTTGTTTCTCATATAAGGTCAGTAAAAAAAGAAGGAGGAAATGGTCTTAGTGGATATTTCACTTAATATGGCATGAGGTTTCCCCAGAAATGGTAAGAGAGCCCAGGATCTTCCTACATCCTGAGCCAACAGTTTCCCAGTTTGTCTGTGAAGCCAACTCAGTGTCTCTAGCTGTGGCTTTTATCACCCACACTCCAAGGGATAGCATTTTGACAGAACAGAGATGATACGTGACAATTTGGGATAACTCAAAAGACAAACTTGTTGTTTGCTTTTCGGGTGGCTAGAATTCCCAGAACAGCAGGTCCTTGAGGGAGAGCCATGCTGAGAATTTGAGGAGTGATGGGTACCAAATGTCTGGGGAATTAAATCTACACTTGCTATTTACTACAGGTTGGTAAAATGACAAAGCCAAAACCACAAGTACCCCTAAGCCATCACATACTTTTAAAGACTTTATAGAACATTTAAAATATAATGAATTATCCACAAACAATACATTTTTTAGCTTGGAAATGCTCTCTCTTTTTTTCTCTTCCTCTCTCTCTGCTTCTCACTCCTTCCTCCCTTTTCTTTTCCCTTTCTCTGTCTCTCTCTCTTTCTCTTTTTCCTGTCTCTCTTTCCTTCTCTCTTTCTCTCTATCTCTCTTCTTTTTCTCTGTCTCTCTCTTCTCTCTTTTATCCTCTGTCTCTCTCTCTGTCTCTTTCTGGATAACATCTGATAAAATTTCACATCTAAAGCTTCTTTAGTGACACAGATGGTGGAGGAGAGAATGGAACTGTTACAGTAGTACCATGAAACCTCTGGGTAGGAATCATCATAATCCCATATTTTAAATGTGTCAGTATAAATGGAGCATTCTAACTGCAGTAATCATTGGGAAAATGCAAAAGACAGAGCTTTTTTTTTAAATACCCCTAAAACAACTGATGTAAACTCAGAAAATATTTAGACTATATCTTGGGACTTGGGACAGTTGTTGGTCACAGTCACCTCAGGATTTTGGAATGTCATGATGGTCAAGTGCCGAGCCAGCAACAGAAAGCATAAAACGCTAATCCTATTGGTCTAGCATTTTCAAGAGGACCAAAACGTTGGTAGACCTCACTTTCACAAAGATGATACTTGACACGTTAGAGTCACGCAAAAGAAAAAAAAAATTCTGCGAAAGTACACTTTGTTCTCCAAAGAAGGCAGAACAAGGTTACCCTAAATAAGACCCACTAGTGCATTTAAGAGATAATTCAACTAAACGAAGTTTGCTCTATATGTACTTTTCAGCAACACAGTTTGCATAAAAGTGATGCTCATTCATAACCACAAAATGATTGGGCCAATTGTTGCTTTTGCCTCGACAGCTCATTCCTGGGTCTCCTGATAGCCTGGCGCTTAGCCCAGGTCATCCAGATCACTCAGCTACAGGGCTTGGCCTTCATGTGAGCAGCCACTTCACAAAGGAGATGAGCCAAAGCATCTGATCAAACCAAACTTGTTTAAAAAAAAAGAAGCCTATCTTCCCATTTTCCTAGAGCCTTCTTAAATTATTGCCTTTCCTTTCTAATAATTTACTATTTTCAATCAAACGAGTCAAATCAACTTGATCTTCTCAGAGTGACAATGAAATAAAAAAGGAAACTGGAGGATTATCTCTAAAGACAAACAAAAAGCAAAAGGCAGGTCCAGTTGTAGACAGAACCGCAGGCCCCATCATAATTCATCCCGTGAGGGCGCTGTGTCCAGGGAAGTGGTGGGGGGTAGAGCATCTGTATTCTGGGCATTGCTGTGGATGTGTGCCTGCTTCCGAGACTTCCAGGAATGCTTCCTGTCCCAGTCGGTGGACACAGTTTCATTGTCCCAGATGGTGGATGTCTCTGTGTCACTCAGGTAACCAGGCTGCCCTGTGTAATGGGTGGGATAGATGAGCAAGGGTTCAGCTGAGAAAGCCTTCAGATCCCTGGGCTCATAGTACTCCATGTATTTGGCTCTAAAAAGGAAAGAAAAGGTGTTAATGAAGGCAACAGCACCTGTGGTGGTGTGGTTGGGTGGGTACATATGATGGTGTATGGGTGGCGGTGAGCACTTTGGAAATGGAGAGTTAACGTTTTTTAAAAGAAATTGTGCCCTTTATCCAAATCCACACTGCAGGAACATCTTAAAATCATTCATTAAAATGTTTCAAAGATTTAGCAGCAGCAAAAAAAGGCCAGTATGTTTCTGTTCCGATTGTAAATATCACATAATAGAGATTGATTTTGAGCCCTGTTCTAAGAGTTAGTGGTTGGACTTGACTAGATCATAGCAGGCAGGAAGCATCTTACCTTGAGCTCCCTGAACCGTTAATCAGAGCTCTCAGGATTTCACCTGAGGGCATAGCAGTAAGCTTTCATGATCTTAGCTTTCACAATGAGGATCAGGAAATTAAACTCTAAATATTGTATAGAGGATGGTGACAAGATCCATCTATCTTCACTGGGCCCAAAGAGGAAATGCTATTAAGCTACAGTACAAAAGATAAAGTAAAAGGAAGAACTTTCTGAAAGAACTTGTAGAATTTCCTTATGATTAAGTACTTAAATATTCTAGAGAAATTCATCTGTCAAGTATACTGTTGATTTATATGTATGTTGTACCACATATTATGACTTGTTACATAGCCTTATAATATACTATGAAATATTATACATTATTTATATAGCAGCATATATCATTTATCTAATACATAATTAATATATATCTAATATGCAATACATATTTATAATATATAATTTCTGATTGTATGTAACTTGTTATTTATAATACTACATAATAATGTATTATTTTACAGGTTGTCTCAAAAGTCTTGCTGTGGTTTTAAGCTCTTAAAGGTTTGGAATACCTTTTGTGATAAATAATCATACTATGTAATATATTACATATGCTATATCTTATTCAACAATACATAGTATGATACGTATTAGCATGGCAGGTTGTGTTTCTTGGGTTAAAATAGGATAGACCAAATGATCTCCCCACATAGTGTTTCCTGGTTCCATAATTCTGTGATATTATTGTGTTGTGCTTTACAACACTTAGTAACTGTTTTGTGTTTTCCTTGGAGGCAACTAAGTTTATATGGCATTTCTAATAACGATAATAACTGATATTTATATAGCACTTTAATGTCTGCAGAGGGCTTCACATATATGATCTGATTTGAGCCTCAAAACAATACAGTGATAATGCTACTATTATTATTAATAATGCTAAGATACTATTTTTTCCATTTTACATATGAGAAAACTAAGGTCCAGAGAGGTCACCCAGCTATAAATATCATAGTTGGGCTTTGAACCCAGGTCATTCTTGATTCTGAATTCAATACCACATTGCCCCTTCATTAACCTCATTAAAAGTTTTGTTGACTATCTTTATTCTCCATCATAGCAGACAACTAAGTTTCAGAAAGGTGATGAGATATCCCAAGGTTCCTAGGGAAATCAGAGAAGGACCTTAGGTTAGACTGTCTCTGGACACATGGTCTGTTACTTTGCGCTTCTAGGAGGATTGATTTCAGCATAAGGCATGAGCTTAGGGAACCAAGATGCCTGAGGTGATTAGAAGGCATTGCAACATGTATTCCTAGGGTTAAAATTCATAAGAAAGTATCAAGATCACAAAGGCCAGTGGGTTAAGAAGTAAAAGTCAAGTACTGTGTGTTCTTATCTTGGTATTGCCCCCAAAATGCTCTGTTGATGCAAGCAGGGCACACCTTTTTTTTTTCTTTCTATGCCCTTTGCATCTTTCCAAAAAAAGGCAAACACTTAGCTCTACCTCCTTGAGTCATCATTTGAGAAAGACAACTTAAAATCACCTTGAAATACTTGGCAAAATATCAAATGCTGCCCCAGGAGGTTGAGTAGCCACTATCCCCAAAGGGACAATGCCACAGGGCTGGCAGAAAGGCACCATAGAAGGGGACTCACACAGGATGCTTGTTGTACATGACCGGCAGGAACTCATCTACTGGCAGCATTTTCCCAAAGGGGTCAGCTCCAACCAGCTTCTGAGCCCCTTCCAAGGAGATGACATAGCCCAGGGTCCAGTAGGAGTAATCAGCCTCGACCAGATTCATGACATTGGGCACGGCCTTCTCTGGTTCTTGAACTTGCATTCTCTTCCGACCAATGTAACTGGAATGAAGAGGAGGGTGGGTGAATGGAATTTCAGTATGAGTGCCACGCACATGGGTGAGAGTATATGAATTTAAGTTCCATACACCAGGGGCAGGGTATACAATGGGGGTGATGGAGAATTTGGAGTGGGTACAATGTCCTTTGAGGTCTGAATAAATTTCATGACACATTTAATATGAACAGTATTATATTAAGCTGCCATAATCATCTCTCACTCAAATCAAAGACTCTGAGTCCTTTTAAAAAATCATATATATATATATATATATATATATATATATTTCAATTAACAAAAATCTGCCCTTTCACCCAAACTGTCTCCAACTGAGAACAAAAGAAAAACAAAGCTCTTGTTACAAATATGTATAGTGAAGCAAAACAAATTCCTGGATTGGCCTTATAAAAAAAAAAAAAAACATGTCTTTGAATCTAATAGAAATTCTTCCTTTGTACTCATCCCCATGGTACAAGGCAAAAACCTCAGAGGAATAAGGAATAAAAGATTTCTCAAGTCAATTCCCAAATGATGGACATTCCATCAATTTCCCTAGTGCTTGATGAAAAAGATCCCAGGGACTCTTATTCAAACCCACGCTGAATGAGCCTTAAGAGCCTTAAGGATCTTTTTGTTCAGACTCAGGATTTCATCAGTAGAAGGAACTCTTAGTATGGAAACTCCCTAGACCAAAGAAGATCAGAGACTCTTCAGTAACTTAGACCCCAGAGAGTTGCCTGGGGCACTGAGAGACTTTCCCACAGTCACAAAGTTGTACATGTTAGAGGATAGACTTGAAACCACATGTTCTTGCTTCCAAGGCCGGCCCCCTATTCAGTCCATCATGTTGCCACTCACTAGCCCTAGGTAGTTGTTCAAGCACCATTGGCAAACACAGGGCAGGGAATACTTGTGTGGGAGAAATTTAGAGTCCATTCTGCAGCAGGAGCCCATTCAGCTCAATATAATTAAATTAATATGCCTTCTGTACTCCTCACTGCCCCTGGTGCACATAGCAGGCATTCAGTCATTCCTGATTGATTCCTAGTCTGTCGTCTTCCGCTATTAGAAGGCAAATGACTAGCTTTCTATTTGTATGCGTTGCCGTTAGCACAGTGCTTTGTATGCTTTATTAAATACTTCTTCTTTCCTCCCTTATTCCTTCCTTCCTTCCATCATCTCTCCCTCCTTCCTTTCCTCTTACTTCCTTTCTTCTTTCTGTCCTTTCTCCCTCCCTTCCCTGCTACTACCCTTCCTCCTTCCCATCCTCCATCCCTCCCTCCTATCTTCTCTCTCCTTTCCTCCCTCCCATCCTCTCTCTCTTTCTCTCCCTCCCTCCCTCCCTCCCTTCCTTCCTTCCTTCCTTCTTTCCTTCTTTCCCCAAGGGACAGACATTTTATAGAAGGCTATGGTTGACCTCCTTAATACCAACCTCTATAGCTTAAAGATTGGCCTTGATTTCATGGATAGGAGGAAGTCCCAGATGAGGAAATTCCCTTTACTCATGCAGGTTGGAACCTTCTCTGCATCTCAGTCTCAAAAGAGTTGCTTAGAACACTGAGCAGTTAGACTTGCCTACATACACATCAGTCTGATGTCAGAGGTGAGACTTTTAAGCTCTTGTCTTCCTGGCTCTGAGGTTGGCTTTCTTTCTATCAACTTTACCCCACTGGCCCTCAGATATTAAAGATGGATCTCCAATATCTCCATCATCCCTCAAAAACCTATTTATTGTATAGGGGATTTCTACCTCAGCTAGCAGTTGGACTATACGATCTCTAAGGCCCCAAATCTAAGGTACCATGATTCTATTGTGGCTGTTCAGTCATTTCAGACGTGTCCAACGCTTTCTGAGCCCTTTTGGAGTTTTCTTGCCAAAAACTTTGGAGCGGTTTGCCATTTCCTTCAGCAGCTCATTTGACTGAGGATGAGGATGAGATGAGGAACTGAGACAAAAAAGGTTGATTGACTTGCCCAGAGTTACACAGCTAGTAAATGTTTGAGATCAGATTTGAACTCAGGAAGAGGCACTCTATCCACTGTGCCACCTAGTGGCCCATTGATTCTATTATCTATACATACATTTATCTAAATGGTCATTGATCCTCATATTTCCAACCTGCATGGAGTTTATTTTAGGGGGAATGAGTTATAAACTTTTATTACCTATAAGGTAAAGTAGAATTTTCCTATTTTGTCCTAGGCTACCTTGCTCACCCCTTCAAGGGATGCCCCCTAGTCTTGGCATTCCATCATTTCACGGACAAGTCCACTCACACATGTTTTGTGTCTGTCTTTGAAGATTTCTACAAACTATCTTCCTGTTAGATTCTATCTTCCAGACCAAAAAAACAAAAAAACAAACACTAGAATTCTTCAGTCGGTCCTTATAGGGAAAAGAATCAATGTTCTCAGTGACTTATTTTGCTCCTTCCCACTTAGGATTTTCTATCTTCCAGGAGAAATGGCTCCTGAGGTTTCCAACAAACTGACTTCTGCCCCCCCTTCCAGCTTAAACTTGTTTTCCAACAATAATGTTGGGTACATTTCTTGCCAAAATGGACCGTTAGCTGATCCCCATGCATGCCTTTCCAAGCCTGGAATGCACTTCCTCCTCAACTAAGCCTCTCAGAACACTTCTCTTTCTTCAAAGCTCAATCCAGGACACATCTTCTCCATGAAGCAGTTCCGGATTTTCTACCTCTCAGCCTTTCTGCGCTCCAAGCTGTTACTGCTTTCTGTTTCTGCAAGTTACCTTAAGTTGACTTATCTGCACACGTATTCCATGTCCTCAGGAGAATATAACGTCCCTTAGGGCAGGGGCTGTTAAATTATTTTTTGTTTGTTTATTTCCTTTGTTTTTGTTCTACGCAGGGGCAGTTAAGTGGCCAAGTAGATAGAGTACTGGGCCTGGAGTCAGGAAGACTCATTTTTCTGAGTTCAAGTCTGGCCTCAGACCTTAGTAGCTGTGTGACCCTGGGCAAGTCACTTAACCCTGTTTGCAGTTTCCTCATCTGTCAAATGAGCTAAAGAAGAAAATGGCAAACTACTCCAGTATCTTTGCCCAGAAATTCCCAAATGGGGTCACAAAGAGTCAGACACGACTGAAAACAACTGAACGACAAAATCTTCATACCCAGTGGAGAACAGCGCTAGGCACATAGTATGCATTTAACAAGTGTGTATTTAATTGGGTAGGAACAGTTTGCCAAGAGAGACCATAGAATTTCCATCTCTGGAGGGGTTTTAAGTAGAGTAATAATGACCTTACGCCCAGAAATGGTAGTCTTGTCGAGTGGAGTGGGAAGGAAAAATGATCCTAAGTGATCGGTTCGAACACCAGTTCTAACCACAGTACCCATTTTTAAAGGTTATTAGTCATTTTACACAATGTGGATATTTAGTTAGGTTTGCCAAGGCATCACTGAGCTATAACTAGGCTTCCTGTGAGCTAGGAATGTTGTCTCTTTGGAGGGAGCAAGTGTTCTCCCTGGGCACACACTTGAGATCTCCTCCTGGACCAGGGCAGGCAGTGCCAGTTGCTTTTGGCCCGGAGCAGGACCCTGCTTGGTGTAACTGACTTTGACATGCCGCGGGAGAGATGAAGAAAAGTCTGGCACCTTCCTCCACAATTAGGAAGAAGGGAAATGTTCCTGGTTGCTTTTAAAACCTTCCCCCAGACTCTCAGTTGTGGCAGGTAAATAAACATTCAGTAAATAGCAGATCAGAATAAATTGCTTCCAGGTGTGTTACCCTGGGTTTCCTCCCACAGGTTTTTGATCTGTTTCAAGCCCCGCTGTCAGATGTTCCTCAGGCCTACGCTGGCTTTATTTCCAACTGGAGAAGTGTGTTCCTGATTTTCTGGTCTCATCCTGGTCTGAGAAGGCAACCCAGTATTCTGTTTTGGCTGTAGACCTTCCAACCAAAAAGTCAGAAAAGGGTCTTCTTTCCCCTCATTAACTGCAAAATTAATAGGGCTCCTCCAATGAGGCCCCTACCCTCTTTCATGGCCCCTGCCCTTTGGAAAGAGCTGAACTTGATGTCACCTGATCCAAGCTCGAATCCTGGCTCTGTAGGATCTTGCGTAAGTCTCTTAACTTCTCTGATTCTCAGTTTCTTCATCAGTGAAATGATGAGCTTAGACTAGATGCCCCCTGAGATCCTGTCCAGCTCTAAGATATCAGATTCTATTGTAAACCATGCTGTTCCTTTAAGATAAACATAGCAGTTTAGGGATGAAAAACACAGAAAGTGTTTTTGTGTAAAGGAAGAGATTCCTATTAATTGTCAAAAGATGTGAGATATTGCTGCTATTATGGATAGACATTTTGATACCAAAGAGGAGTAGAAAAAGAACACGGCCATCCTATGACACCCCCCAGCACACATGGTGCAAGGATTGTTTGACCTGGATCAATGCAGTGCTCCCAAGAAGGACTTCACCGATCAGGGTTGGCTGGCACATGACAGGCATTCGCCTAGAAGCCCAAGTATTACTCTGTCTGAATCCACCGGCATTCTTACTTCAGAACTAGACAAACTAGTATTTGCAAAAGTCAGTAATAAGGTGGATCTTCTCCAAGTACCTGATAAGGGGAGAGATCTCTCTATAATACATACATACATATATATATATATATATATATATATAATATAATGTCACCTCAATATACATGGTGCAGGGATTATGTCAATGCAATGCTCCCAAGAAGCACTTCACTGGCATGTGGGTGGCATTCAACCGGAAGCCCAAATATCACTGTCTGAATCCAACCAAAATTGTTTTTGTTTGTCCTTCATGCTCGAATAGGACCACAATGACATCACAATGTCAGGGTCAATGTACTCTGTTTCCAGCTGTTGCTGATCAGACCGATACAAGCTAGGAATGCTCTACCATAGGCCAGGCATAAAAATGTATAGTTCCTATGATCCTTGGGGAGGGAGAAGTCTCTACATTTGTGTATTTGATGTTTCTTTTGAGCTACTGAAATTCTGCTTTGCTCATAGAGCACAGCACCTTCTTTGATGTGGGCACACTATGATGGATGAACCTGTGCCAGTGTCTCCCATATCTGACAATTGATACTAAAGTTCTTCAGAGAGATCTTGAGCAGTGTCCTTGTATTGTACTTCTGACCACCATATGAGCACTTGCCCTGAGCACCTGCCTTGTATGAATTCTCTGTGAAATAGTATTTTAGGCAAATGGAACAATGGAGCCAGCCCACTGGAGTTGTGCTCTCTGTAGTAGAGTCTGAATGCTTGGCAGTTCAGGTTGAGAAAAGACCTCAACATCCAGTACCTTATCTTGCCAGGTGATCTTCAGAATCTTCCTAAGACAATTCAGATGGAGGCAGTTCAGTTTTCTGGCATGGTGCTGGTAGACTGTCCAGGTTTCACAGGCATGTAACAATGAAGTCAGCACAGCAGCTCTGTAGGCCTTCAGTTTGGTAGGCAGCCTAATAACTCTTCTCTCCCAAACATTCTTTGAGAGCCTCCCAAATGCTGAGCTAGCTCTGGTGATGTGTGCATCGACCTCATCAACTATGTGTTCGTCCCTGGAAAGTATACTGCCAAGATAAGTGAACTTCTCTGCAGCATTCAAAATTTTTCCATTTGTTGTTGTAAGTGATGGTTCCATGGATGGTGTGGTGCTGGCTGGTGAAGAACTTCTGTTTTAATGGTGTTTATTGTTAGGCAGAGATTTGATCCATACTTTATTGCATCTCAGCATCAGAGGCTGCACTGAGTGCAGAATCACGTGCAGACAAAAAGTTGTGCACCAATTCTCCCTCCACTTTAGTCTTGACTTGTAGCTTTTTATGAATGATGACAGCGGGGAGTTAAATAATTTACTATCATCGTGGTAGTTGACCTTGATGCCATTTCTGTCCTCCTCGAAGATGTCTGACAACATCGTTGAAAAATTATGCTAGAAAGCATGGAAGTAATCACACAGCCCTGCTTCGCTGCAATGATGACTGGGAAAGGGTAACAGCATCGTTTATTATCCAGAACCCATGCAAGCATGCCATTGTGAGACTGGTGTACAATACTGTTCAACTTCTCTGGGCAGCTAAATTTTGCCATAATCTTCCACAGGCCCTCACAATTGATAGTATCAAGGGCCTTGGTTAGATCAACAAATGTTGTGTACCTACCTCTGTTCTGCCCCTGTCATTTCCCCTGGAATTGTTGGGCAGCAAAGACCACGTCAACCATTCCTTGGCCCTTTCTGAAGCCACACTGACTCTCAGGTAGGTGACCACCTTTCAGGTGAAGGATCAGCCTGTTAAGGAGGACTCTGGCAAGAATCTTGCCAGCAATGACTAAGAGAGAGAGCCCTCCCCACCCCCACCATGGTTGTCACAGGACAACCTACTGTCTTTTCCTTTATAGAAATGAACAACAGAGACATCCTTGATCATTTAGGGGATAACCTCCTTTTTCCATATAACCCAGAAGATTTCAGTCAGCTTTTGTATGAGCAATGGATCTTCTGCCTCATAAATCTCTGCTGGAATGGAAACTTGGTTTTAGATCTCATATATAGTAATTTCTATATTTTGGGTGAGAGATAAAAGGAAAAAGGGGAATGGGAAGGTTGGAAAAGTCTACGATCAACCCAGCACTTTACTGTACATCACCTTTGTCACTCTCACATCCTCTCTGTCTCTTCTCTTTACAATTACATAATCTATTAAATCCCAATGTTGCTGTGAGGGTTCATCCATGAAGTTTTATTACATTTAAGTAAATAGAAAACAGTGTTGGTGAGAAGAAAGTCTTAAGATGCACAAGTCTTCAATGGTAAGTGACCACTGCGGTTGTTTTTTCCGAATCCATTCCTCCCAAGAACTGCTTGCCATGTCTAATAGATAGTCTGTAGTCACCAAGAATTACAAGCTTGTCATTTTCTGGCACATTGATGATGAAAATCTCCAGGTCATCATACAATTTTTCTTTGACCTTGTCAGGGTTCATGATGGTGGGAGCATAGGTACTGATGATGGTGGTGTGGTACTTTGCTGCAAATAGCAATCTCATTGTCATGTGCCTGTCGTTCACATTTTTTGGGAGGCATACAAGCTTGTTGACTAGATTAGATATGATTGCAAAACCTAAGCTAGTTTCACTGTGCTCCCCATCACTGCAGCCATTCCAGGAAAATGTGTATCCAGCTCTGACTTTGGTAAGCTGACCTTCATTTGCCAGCCTTGTTTCACTTAGTGCTACCATACCTGCTGAATTCTCTTGCAACAAGAGCTGTTTGTCTTTCATGTCTACTGGATTTCATGTTGTCCACAAGGGTGCACACATTCCATGTACTTATGGCGAGTGAAATCATCTTCACAATAGTTTTTGCACACATTTTTGTGTTTTGACTGCAGAGTGGGATCCCTGCCTGTCATGGTAAGCAGGATGGGGTTGGGTGAAGCAGACAATTTTTAGGACACCTTTTCTAGCCCCTTCCTCATGAGAGGAGGTGAGCAGTGCAGTCCTTAAAGTGTTGCTCAGACACCCAGGGGGCTGCCAAATCTCACTTTTGCTTCAGTCCAGTGAGAAGACAACCCTTTGGCCTGAGCCGCCTGTGTGAAGGGTTGTGACGACATCTCCCAGTGTATCTGCACCTGCTGCTTCATTGCTGGTCACCACAGGAATTCAAGGTAGATAAAATAGTAAAATTGTCACACAGTAAAATATTAAATAACAAAATAGCCAAGTAATAAAATAATGAAATAGTAAAATGGTATGGGTGATGACTTTCGACTCACAAGTAAATTGGATTTAAGTTAGGCAGAGTCGCACAAAGTCATCAGCCTTACTCTTTCTTCCAGAGTCATCAAAGTCCAGTGGCAAGACAAACGTCAAGATAACTTGCAATGGCTCTGGATGCAGTGGAGACATTAGTGTGTTGGGTGTCTGATCAAGCTCTAGGCACTCCACAGTCCCTGCTTCTGCTGCCTTCGTAGCCCATTGAAACAAAATGTTCACATCTGCCTATTCCACTGGGAAGTTTTTACATGCTTGGGGTAGATACCCCACTAACTCACTGATGGGTTTGAGACCCATCAGTTACTCTCAATCTGGTTTAGTTCATCTGCCAAGACAGTTTACCGGGTATGGTTACTACTACAGCTTCTTAGAGTCACAGATGACAGCGGGGTGACAGGTAGATGAGCAGCCCTGAAAAGGGCTCAGCTAGTCCTCACACCAGAGGTACTAGTTCTCTCTGAGCAAAAGTTATGTGAAATTACATGGAATTGTTACCTCAAAATCAGACAAACTGGTGTTTGCAAAAGTCAATAATAAGGCTGATCTTCAACAAGTACCTGATAAAGGGAAAGATCTTCCTCTGGGAATTCTTGTCCCTGAGCAGAATACCTAAGTGGAGGTCAGGCAAATGGCAAAGCTCCTGTTTTCTCATAGAAACTACAAACATTCATTGAATTGAGTTAGAAATGATGAAAAACGATGGTTTCAGAGAAACCTGGGAAGACTTGTATGGATTGATGTTGAATGAAGTGAGCAGAACCAAAACAAATTTATAAAATTCAACAATGTAAAGATGAATAACTGAAAGACTTAACAATGTTGATCAATGTGTCCAACCACTTTCTGACAGAGAGGCGATGGACTCAAGATGCAGAATGGGATAAACATTTTAGGACACGGCCAATGCAGAAATAAGTTTTGCTTGACTATGCGTATTTATTACAAAGTTTTTTTTTTCCTTTTTTCAATTTGGGATAGAGGGAAGTGGAAAGGAGAGAAAATAAATGTTAATTTAAAAAACATTTGAATAAAAGAACTGAATTGAGATGTAGTGAATGGTGACCTCCATCTTCTAGAAAGTGGGGATTCCCCAGAAGCTCAGTCTCCCCCACTTCTATGCTAATTCTCCTTCTTTTTCACTTACATCAATTCCCAGTCTAGTTGCACACGGTCAATGTCATCCATCAACTTCACCAATTTCTTCTTAAACTGATGTTCAAAACGCACATCATCCTCAATAACAAGCGTCTTTTCCAGTTCTCGGTCAATTACCTGATATTTTAAGAAAAGGAGGACACACTTCAAACCAACGAATCACTCCTACTTACCTGTGCTTTGCTAATAATAGAAAAGATACAGAAGTACAATAGACCACTGGGAGATGAGGCATCATCGAGGCTTTCTGCACGGGATTTTTTTTTTTCCTCTGCAAAAGACAATCTTATAATAAGCTAAGAGTCAGTAGACCTGAAATCTAGTTCCAGCAACTACTTGCTAAATGTCTTTGAACAAGACCTCTACATGCCTCAGTTTTCTTAGTGATCATATGAGGATAAAGATGTTTGTCCTTTGCCTGACAGGAAGGTAGGAAGGGATCGAGTGCTCAAGAATTTTGTTAAAGTATATCAGATGAATGGTACAGTGGTTATTACAATACCACATTATTATGATAATGTAGTAATTATTGTTATTATTGTTGTTCCCATCTGGGCCTTTTTTCTCTCTGGGTCCAACCAAAAAGAGTCAGTCCATTGTTAGGTTACAGGCTCCATAATGTGAAAATTCTAGAGAGGCCAATTTGGGCTCAACGCAAAGAAAACCTTCCTAACAATTAGAATTCTCAGAAAGTGGAATGAGCTGCTTCAGGAGGCAGTGAGTTTCCAGTCATTGAAGATCTCCAAGCTCAGGCTGGATGAGTCACTGTCAGGTACGCTGTAGAGCACATTCTGTCCTAGTCATGTAACACGGTGGAGAGCATGGGGGACTTGGAGCCAGGAATACTTGGTGGTGAATATTGGCTGTGACAGCTGTAGGACCATGGACAAGCCCCCTTAGCCTCCCAAAGCCTGTTTCCCCATCTCTGGGATTGTGATAATAGTCATTCCAGTAGCACCTCCCTCAAATGATTATTGTAAAGCTCATGTTGGCACTTTGCCAACACTAAAACACTATCTAAATGTTGGTCATTATTGCTTCCCTATATGTTAGACCGGGTGGCCTCAGAAGCCCCTTCCTCTTCTGTGAAGATAATTCTTGTTTTTTAAAAGATCTCAGTATCAATGGTACTCGCTGCTCGGTGTGGTGCCAGTTCTTACTTGGTTTTGGTACTTTGTTGCTGGTCTTTGGGTAGGAGGTCAAGCATATGATTAAATACATCTTAAGGTGAGTATTGTTTAAAGCACAAAATAAGGTTCCAAGTTAATTAATATCATACCATTTCAAACCCCTAACAATTCATCTCTAGAGTTCTACAACCTGCTCTCTTTGTTGTAAAACTGGAGTGCTCCATTCCATCAATTCAATGAGTAGTTCAATGCTCACTTTGCCTGAAGCCCTAGACTAGATACTGGGGCTACAAAAATAAATGTATAAAGCATCATTTACCTCCTTCCAGATAGAATAGTGGCTAAGAAAGCAACCAATTTCACCCCTTGTCAATGGCCTAGAAGAATAGGGATCCTTGTACCCAGGTAGCATTTCGATATTCAGAGCTTTCAGCTGACTTGTATTCAGGGCCCTGCAAGACAAAGAAAGGTTCTTACTGCATTAAAAGAAGAAACAATTGCATGTTCCCTACCATTTCTCTACTCCCCCTCTCAGAAAAAAATTGCAACCTAGAGATGTATTCTAACAGAAGAATAGATTGACATACAGCTGCATAGCTCCTCATATGATAAGAAAATAAGGAGAAGAACCCTTGTGACGAAGAGCGTTCCATTGTCTTATTGGGTAAGAGCTTGCTCTGACAGTCAGGGTCTGGGCAGCCCTGAATAACCAAGGACTCTTGCTGACCATGGATGACTCAGGTTTTGGGTGCCCTGTGGATGATGAAGCCGAGGGTCCATTTATAGGCCATTGAGCAGAAGAAGGCTGATGATTCAGTAGGCCTTTAAGAAGTGAACAATTCCACCCCTGTTGCTCTTTTCTTTGGACCCTCCAGAGGGCATGGGGCAATTCTGAGACGTCTGGTAAGAAGTATCTCATCTGGGCAAGTTGGGCCATAGCATGTGCTCATCATCTTGTTGGTGGTCATCTCGTCCCAAGAACAAGAGAATTGTTGCTAGGAATTTCTCTCCTTGTTACCAGTCAGTCCAAAGACCGAGGACTACCAAACCTCTTGAACTCACGAAATGACCTCCTAGCCTGAACATATCTATGCCAGAATTAATATTTAGTCACCTAAGATGAGGAAAGAACAAACACAGAAGAGCTTGCCCCAAACTCAGGACCGCGCTCACCTAAGCAAGAAATGGGTTCCGGTTGTTTTGGACTCACAGTTAGATAGTGGTTGGGGGGTGGGGAAAGGTGAGCTTTTCTTACCTCACCCTCTTCATGGGAAGTCTCAGAGTTGGGGGATATCACCTGGAGGGTGAGAAGACTAAGGAACTGGGGCATAGACACTCCCTTTTGAGAGTTCCTCTGATTCCTTAGTGAAGAGGGAATGGCTTCATCAGCCCCAAAGCACCCTTCATGCCTGAGTCATGGAAAGCAGCCAAGAAACTCATCAGCTCCGAAGGATCCTCAGAGCTGAGTCGAGTAAAGCCGTTAAGGACGTGGTTATCCCCAAAGCACTCAAGCACATGGTCATATGTGAACAGCAGGAATCAGGAAGGGCAGCTCTGCGCATGTTCTGTACAACCCCTGGTTCTCTTGTTTAAGGGACATGAATCAAACATTATAGTTAGGAAAAAATATGGACAGCGATGGCTAAAATAGATTGAGAAGTAGACTGTAAGTAGTTGGATGCCTTTAGCAAATGAAAACTAAAAACAGAGATAGATTTTGGCTAAGTACACAGAGAAATAGGTCTATACAGGCTTGGGGTCCAGTTGACTAAACCCCGCAAATCCAAACCCAGAATGGATTTGCTCATGCTAGTTTTTTCTCCTAACAATTCTTCCTTTCTCCCCAAATTCTTTCTTTTTTTCCCTTTCTCTCTCATTCTTCATCCATCCCCTCCTATCCCTGAGATTCTAAAGGCATTCCATGAGAAAGATTGATTTGAAATACTATCTTCATATAGCTACTTGCTAGCCATCTGGCTAAATGAAGGGGGAGGGAGCAGATATTTATATGGTACCTACTATATATCAGGCATTATGCTAAGCATTTTACAATTATTATCTCATTTGACCCTCATAACAACCCTGGGAGGTACCTACCTTTAGGTGCTATTATTATCCCCATTTTACAACTGAGGAAACTGAGGTACACAGAAGTTGTGACTCGCTTAGGATCACACAGCTAGTCAGTGGTTGAGGCTGGATTTGAACTCAGATTTTCCTGTCTTCTGCCTAGTGCTCTCTCTACTGGGTCACCTAGCTGCCTCCAGTGGTAATGAGTGGTAATGGGGCACTTTGATAGAGGATTTAAAGGAACAAGAGACTCTCACAGACCTTGAACCTTTTAAAAAGTGATTTCTCATCATGTGCTGGTTCTCGCTTGCCTTGTGGTCCAGTGGAAAGAGCACTAGATGGTGGAATCGGGTGTCCTGGGTGCAAGTTCCAGCTTTGTCACTAACAAGCTCCATGATCTAGGGTTGGTCATTTCACTTTTCCCGGTCCCAGCTTTCCTACCTATTCAATGAGCATATTGGACTAGATGTTCTCAAAAATCTCTTCCAGCTCAAATTTTATGATTCTAAGGGTGCAGCATCTTGAGAATGTGAATTTTATAAATGTGAGGATTTCTGATGTTGATACACTGAGGGGAAGTAAAGGGACACAGGGCTAATCCCAACCCAAGCCAGCCAATTATACAGATTTAGAGAATTCCTGAGAACCTTTTGTGAGGGAATAGTTTTCAGTGGAAGACTAAGACTAGATCCTGAATGAACCCACCAGGAGGATATGGAAGTTTTCATACATTGCTGCTCATATTCCATGGTCAACTGAACATAAGAAGTGGTGGAATCAGGGTGTATCTGCGGGCTGCGGCAGGTATGGGGGAAGGTGAGGCACACGAGCCTTTGCTTGGGACCAGGCTCCAAACACATATTCCACATCCCAGCACAACATAGAAGAGAAGCAGTTAGAATCATAATTTAAAGAACGCCCAATTGTGAGCAGTAACTATCGCTGACCGGGTGGATCCAGGCCAAACAAAACCTAAAGGCCACTGTTTCCGACGGGGCAGGATTTGGGGCATATTTTGGGGAGTATTTGTCAGTTGGTCAGCTAACATTTATGAAGCATCTACTATGTGCCAGGCACAGTGCTAAGTGCTGAGGCTACAAAAAATGGCCAATCCCCCAACCAAAAACAAAGACCAGTCCCTGCTCTCAAGGAGCTCACGGTCTAATAAATTTCATTCACTTAAATGTGTATTTATTTGTTGCATATGACTGATTTCAGAAGGAAAATACCTTTCCTCTGATAGTCAAGTCCTGGCAACAATAGGTTCCTACCACAGGAATGACTTTCCAACTGAAATGATGTCTTGATTTAGAGATGGTGGGGTGTATAAGGACAAGCACTAGCCATCGAATCAAAAGAAGCCGGTTCAAATCCTGGTCCTGGTACTGCCTAGCTCTGTGACCCTGGACAACTCACTCTCTTTTTCCTCGTCTGTAAAATGGAGATGAGAAGATATGCCATAATAATAGCTAACACAAATATATTTTAAAATATAAATATATTTTGTCTTATTTGAGGCAGCTAATGGTATAGTGGACAGTATGCTGGGCCTGAAGTCTGGAAGACCCAAGTTCAAATCCAGCCTCAGTCACTAGTTGTGTGACCCTGGACAAGTCACTTAGCCTGCCTGCCTCAGTTTCCTTAACTGTAAAATAGGGATAATAATAGCACCTACCTCCCAGGGTTGTTGTAAGGATCAAATGAGATAATATTTGTAGAAAGTGCTTAGCACAGTGCCAGGAAGGTATTCTATAGATGCTTATTCTCATGTCCTTCCCTTCCCTTATTTGTGCTACTTGCCTTAAGAGTATGCTGTGAAAGAAAAGTTTATAAACTTCAAAGCAACATGTACATATAAGCTCTTAACATTGTCCCAATCCACTAATTAAAATCTACAAATACAAGATGGGGAAAACACAAAGAAGCTCACTTTCCATCCACAGCCTCTACAATTTTGACCTCAATCTCTTGTTCATAAAGTGTGCGCAACATTCGGTCCCGTCTGTCCTTCCGCCGTTTAAGGTTTATCATGAAAATCTAAGAGGAAAATATGGAGGAAAAGTAACACAAATGAAGTAAGTCCCACTTCACACCTCGTGTAGGGTAAAGCTTACAAACAAAGTCTTATCATATTGGACATTCAGTAAAAGGGACTAAGAAAGCTTTGACAGAGTCTTTGGAGCAGGGAGAACAGCAGTCATCTGAGGGAAGGATTTTTACATTTAGGCCCTAGGCTTAAAGGGCTCTGATGCTGGCATTTGGAGCTTTCCCCAGTATTGCTAGCTGAGAAAGTCTCTGCTCTTCTCAAATTTTTAATAGAACACTTTGCCTTGATCCCACCTCAGTCCTATCACTCCTTAGCTCATGACATACTTAAACACATATAAATCATATGTTCTCCCAATAGTGCTTGAAAGGACTGACTGCATCATTTTAAAGAATCGTTGTATCTGCAGAGTGCCTTGCACATAGCAGGTCCTTGCTAAATGTTTGTTATAATAGCATTCTTCTGAAAATCAACTCTTTCTGTAAGTTTAAACACTCTGGTGGTGTTAGTTTGATGCTCCTGAAAAATCTCCTAAATAATACTCTAGAGGGAGCAAAGGCAAACAAATGATTTCAGAAGCCCAGAAGTAGCAAGGAGACACAGCACTGTTAAGGCAGGGTTTTCCAGCACCATCCTTCAAGAGGTAGGCATTCAAAGAAGCAATACAATACTTGGCCCATAATCAGAGCTTAATAAAGGCTTTCTATTTACTCACATAACAGGAGAGTTTCCTTTAACTTTATCCCAATGGTATTTACATCAAACATTGTATACGACCCATATTTTGTTGTGTTCCCATTTTGAGTTTATTTACAGGGGTGCAGTCACATATACAACGACCACAATATTGTAAATAAAGTCCACATTTGGGAGGATTCCTTTGCTCTGCGACCCTTTGTACATATTATCTTTGGTTTCTTTGAATTCTTCATAAATATCATTCCTTACAACACAGTAATAATCCATTAGACACACATCATAACTTAATCTGCTATTTCTCTATTGGCAGGCACATGTTTTGTTTCTGTGACCTTTTCGACAAACATTTCACTATAGTTATCCCTTCCATATTGCGGAGGTTAGGGGCATGGTGCTCCCGTAATCTGGAAAATCCGTGTAAAATTTTTGACCTTCCCGTTGTACCAGCGAAGAAGTCTGAATTTTTTCTTTTTCTCTTATAGGGTGTTTACAGTACCTTATTGTAAAATTTGGGCTAAGTATTTGGTCATAGGCTATATGTAGGTCAATGTAAAGTAAAAATATCTTTTTTGTGTTGTTTGCTGGCCTTTGTGTATGTCTGTGGCTTCTACAAAACTCCCCCAAAATTCCCATTTAATTTCTTGTGCTGACCGACGATATATAGAGACCACCTTGGGGAAAGTCACAATGCGGAAGGGATAACTATGTATAACAGTAGAATATTGGTCTAGAAAACAGGAAACCCTGCTTCTATTTCTGCCTGGGCTACCAACTAAGTGACTTGATGTAGTGGCAAGAACACTGAATTTAGAATCCAAGATCCTCAGTTCAAATGTGAGCTCTCCTCCTTACTATGTGTATGACCTCAGACAAATCAATTTACCTCTCTAGGCCTCAGTTTCCTCATTTGTAAAATGAGGAGTTTGGGCTATGATCCTTTCTACAAGATCCTTCTAGCTCTAAATCCTAGGAGAGCACACTTGTGCTACAAACTAAGAGCTGCCTATCCTTGTATGAATCACAGCTGCCTGAGTCTCATCTCCAGAATACCAGGGCTGGGCTACATCTCTAATCTCCTTTCCAGCAGCAATATTTTATGAATCCAAATAGAAAATAAACTAAATCTAAGGAAATGAAAGTTTTGAGATAAGTAGATTTACCAAAGATATAGGAAAAATGATGATTTACTTAGGGAATGTACTTTGTAAAGGGATATGTCTGGGTGTTTTGTTAAGAGTTATATGTTGTGTTGAAACAAAATATAACAATATGCTTATTTTTCTTCTAAAAAACAAGGAAAAGGCTTCAAGAGACGCTGGAATGCTTTATATTTAATTTAGTTGATGCTTATATTTAATTTCATGAAAACCACCAAATTTATTTTGAGTTGCATGTGTACGTGTGCATGTGTATGTGGGAACTGCCATGTACAAATTCCACAACTTCTGTCTGAGTGACCTAACAACAGTCCTTTCATATGGACAATAATGGAGCTATCTGGGGACACTGGTTGCTCTGTTCTGGCTATAAGCAGAGCAGGAGCAAAAACAGACTTCTCATCTGGGAAGACCAGATTTTAGCAAATATAAACCCAACCTCAGGCCCTACTCAGTCCAAGGGCAATAAAAAGCATAGCCACAAAGGAAAAACACAGACAACAGAGAAATACATGCACACACTCGTAGTAGACTGTAAATAGGAAGTGGGGTAGGGTGAGATGGAGGGGGGAAATCTATTAAATCAAATATAGCCCAAACACTGGTCACACCAGACCCCCAAATTCTAGCTTGACAGGATCCTCAGACATCCCCTTTTTGATCTCCCTCTCTCTGGGCAGATCCATGACTAAATCATCTCAGAGAGATGGATAACTAGCTGTCTTTAAAGCATTACATAAACATTATTACTGCTATTATTTTATTCTTCAGGAAAGGAGATTCCCTCCATATACAACTTCACTGTATTATGACTTTTATGGCCCACTTTTATTGTCTTCTTTAAGACAAAACCAACCATGAAAAATCATAGGCACATGTTCCCAAGGCTGACCTAACGGAAATTAGACAGGACCTAGAAGAAACAATATACTTTGTTAGGGAGGGAAACAATGAATGTCTCTATAGACATTTAGGTTCTCTTATCCTAGAGCAAGGGTTTTAGCTTTTTTCATGTCATGGACCCCTTTAGCATACTGATGTAGTCTATGGCTCTTAGAATATATTTTAAAAATTCATAATTGAAGGGGTTATAATATAATAACATTATGTTATAATTATTATACTATAAAACATTGTAATTCTTATAATATGATGGCATTATATTATTATAATACAATGACATTATATTATAATTGTAATTATACAATAGCATTATAATTTATTATAATAATCTCAGTTAGGGGTTAGTGAAAGTAAAGATATAATTTTCTCCCATACAAATTCATGGATTCCATTGAAATCTACCCACAGACTCCCTCTCCCCACCTTATATCCTCACCTCCAAGCCCAGGTTAAGAACCGCTGAGGTCTGAAATGCTGTATGAGTCAGGGAGGATAGCAAAAGAGATGAATAAGACATGGATGAATGCGTCGACAGGGCCAATGAAACTGCTTGGGCCATGTCCATCTTTGGAAATCTAATTATTTCTAAAAACTATTGGCCATTTTGTTTAAATCCCCTCTAATTCAATTTTAACCCTCTCCTTTTCTGATAATAATAACTCCAATAATAATAGCAGATATTTACATAATGCTTTAGTTTGCAAAGAACCTTACATATTTTATCTCAGCTGAGCTTCACAACAACCCTGTGAGGCAGGTACCACATCTTTCTTGTCTCTATAGTGACATTTCATGTCTTTTACCCTCTGCCTCTTGGAGAACTTAGCTCCCTTCCCAGTTACATATCTCTAGAGCAGAAAACAGTGTTATATAATGGTTAGAGTTTTGAACATAATGGTTAGAATAAGAAACACTTGGATTCCAATTTCATTTCTGATATTAAGTAAGTTACCATAGTCACCTACCCTCACATTACACACACACACACACACACGTATATATTTGTGTGTATACATACATAGATACACACATACATACACACATACACACATGCATACACACATACATATATATCTCACATACATATATATGTGTATATATATGTATATATATATGTATATATCCCCATCCTTACCTCATCAAATCCCATCTTGTCTGGGTATTTGGGGGCCACTGAGACATACTGGGAGGGTTCAATTGGAGGATGGTCGACTGAAAGATAAGAAACATAATTAATGAAAGAGAAATATACAATTCTAGTGCCTAGCATTGTACTTTGTACATAACAATAGCTTAATAAATGTCTGTTGAATTGAGTTGACTTCCATTAGCATTCCCTGCTCTCTGTGGTTGGGGTATAGTCTACCCATCCATCCATCCATTCATTCATCATGCATGCATGCATGTATTCAACAAGTATTTGTTAAGTACCTACTATGTGCCAAATGCTGAGGGAAAAATTTTTTCTAAAATAGTCCCTTCTTTTAGATAGCTTACATTATTTTATTAAAATTTTGCTTTTATTCTGAACTTAAAAAACAGTGAATAAAATGGGGATTTGCATATACATAGTAGAACAGAATAAGAATATTATACATGGGAAATGCAGGTCTTGATTATGGACTGCTTGCTTTTCTTTCTTAGTATATAATAAGTTCAACCTGTAGCTTGTCCTGCCTGTCTGCAGAGAGCTTACATTCCATTGGGGGAAACAATGATAAGTAAATGTGAAATATATTTAAGAGGACACTGGAAAGTGGGAGGCTCAAAACAGACCCTTGTGTAGGAGATGACATTGATTTGGGATGTCTAGGAATTGAAGGATTCCAATAGGTGGAAGTGAAAGGGGAATACATTCCAGGCATGGAGGAGAGTCTGTGGGAAAGCATGGAGATGGAAGATGGAATGTTGCATAAGGGAAAGAACAAATAGGTGGGACTGGCTGGATTGTAAAGTTACTCAAGGAGAATAAAGCATAATAAACCTGGCAAGGTAGGCTGGAGACAGATCGTAAAAGGTGTTAAAAGTTAAAAAGAGAAATTTGCATTTTATCCTAGAGGAAAAAGAGCTATTCAAACTTTTGGAGCAGAAGAGTGATGTCGTGGCCTCGTGCTTTGGGAATATCACTTGGCAGCTGCGTGGAAAATGGAAACAGAAGAGTCTTGAGGCATAAAGCAGCAGACTAGGTGAGAGGAGAGGAGGGCCTGAACTAGCACAGTAACCCTGTGAGTAGAGAGCTAGGGGCAGGTAGGTGGTGCAGTGGATAGAGTGCCAGGCCTAGAGTCAGGAAGACTCATCTTCATATGTTCAAATCCAGCCTCAGACACTTATTAGCTGTGTGACCCTGGGCAAGTCACTTAATTCTGCCTTGGTTTCCTTGTCTGCAAAATGAGCTGGAGAAGGAAATAGCAAATCACTGTAGTATCTTCGCCTAGAAAACCCTGAATGGGGTCGTGAAGAGGCAGACATGACTGAAAATGACACAAGGACAATAAAACAACGAGCGGAGAGAAGGAAAAGAATATATGTGACGCTGTGAAGGCTAAAAACCTGGCATTGACCGCATACAGTGGGAGGGGAGTGAAAGTGAAGAGTCTAGGATGACTGCAAGGTGCAAACCTAGTTGATGGAAAACATGGCAGTGTTTTGGCTAGAAACAAGGAGCTCAGGAAGAAGGGCAGGTTTGGAGGGGGAAAGAGTGATGCACAGGTCAGGAAGAAAAGACAAAGATCACATGAATCCAACCAGTCCCAAAGCATTTCCTTCGTCTTTCATGATCAGACATGAAAAGCTTAATGACTCGAATCATGAGCTAATGACTGAGGATTGTGGATTCTGTCATCAGATTTGCTGTAGTTCCTTATATGTGAAAATTGTGCCTCCATGGAAAGTGATTACAAAGCTAGTCACTGACCTTCTCTGTAACTTTTTAGTCATTCCACATAACCACAAGATCTTTTCAAAGATCTTCCAGAGTTCCACCCAATCTAAATTAATTGATGAAATAAAAAAGCATGTATTAAGCACCTGTTGTATGCCAGGCACTCTACAAGGGATACAAAGACAAAAAATGAAACAGTCCTTGCTCTCAAGAAGGTAATATTCTATCAGGGGATATAATATAATGTGTGTATGTGTATGTGTGTGTGTGTGTGTGTGTGTGTGTGTGTGTGTGTGTGTATGCACCTGTGTGTATACATTTATATATATGTAACATATTGTTGTTGTTGTTTAGTCAATTAGTAGTGCCTAACTCTTTGTGACTTCATTTGGGGTTTTCTTGGCAAAGATACTGGAATGGTTTGCCATTTCCTTTTCCAGATTATTTTACAGATGAGTAAATTGAGGCAAACAGGGTTAAGTGACTTGCCCAGGGTCAAACAGCTAGTAAGTGCCTAAGACTGGATTTGAACTCAGATCCTCTTGACTCTAGTGCCAGCACTCCATTCACTGTGCCATTCAGCTGCCCAAACATATAACATACATTATATATTTATATACATATCTACATGCATATATAGGATAAATAAAGAATGTAACGGTGGACACTAGCATTAGGGAGGATCAGGAGAGGCTTCAGGTAGAAGATGGTGGTTGAACTGAGTCTTGAAAGACGTAAGAGATTCCAAAAGGCAGAGGGAACAAGGGATGGCCAAGTCTAAAGGTATTAGACAGAAATTAATGTTGTGAGTGAGGAACAGTAAGAAGACCAGATGACAGAATGACTGCAGACTATGGAATGAGTGAAGGGGAGGAATGTATCACAAGGCCAGAAAGATGAGTTTGGACTAGATTGTAAAAGACTTTAAAAGCCAAAGAGACGGGTTTGTATTTGATTCTCTAAGCAATAGGGAGGTAATGAAGTTCATTGAGTAGGGGAGTAATGTAGTCAGACCTACTTTGGGAGCTTTGGCGGATGTAGTCAGATTTACATTGGGAGCTTTGGGGGTCAGAGAAATGGACTGGAATGGAGGGTTCTTTAAGGCAGGGACTCCAATTGGGAGACTGCTGCAATACTCAAGTCAAGAGGTGATGGAGAGCTGATTTATGGCGGTATCCAGGTGAGTAGTGAGAAGGAGACAGATGCGAGAGATGTTACAGAGATGGAAACAGCAAGATATTGCTCTTGATCTGATCTGTGGAGTAATAGAGGGTTAGGAGTAAAGATAAACCCTGGGAGGGGAGTGCTATTATTATCCTCATTTTACAGATGAGAAAACTGAGGCACAGAGAGGTTAAGTGACTTGCCCAGTGTCATACAGCTAAAATTGTCTGAGGCACACAATTCAAACTCAGGTCTTCTTAGCTCTAGGGCCAGTGCTCTATTCACTACACTGCCTACATGCTCCACAAATCGATCACATCTGACAAATGGTGATCCAGCCTTTGCTTGAAGACATCTTGAGAAAAGGAACCTGATACTTTAAGGGGCAGCTGAATTCAGTTTTTGATGGCCCTAATTATTATGAAATTTTTCCCTCTCCACAGTTTCTACCTACTTCTCTGATTTCTCTCCTAAGAAGCCAAATAGAACACATCTAATCTTGAAAAATAGTATGAAAATGTAGTGCATCTTTTCAATGATGTATTTTCCTTAGCGTAGAACCACTCCAGTATCTTTGTCAAGAAAACTCCAAATGGGATCACGAAGTTGGATATGATTGAAAACGACTAAACGACAACAACAAAGCATATTTGTTATAGCAAATAGCCTTGCTACATGCTCTCTCATAATAAATGATCAGTCTGACTCTTTTTATACTTGGTCATTTTCTAGATCCACTTATACCACTCCTGGCACACACGATATCCTTGGCAAAATGCTGCAGGCTACTCATGCCCACGATGTGCTTCTCCGTCGCCCTTTGGGTCACTCACAATTTTGATTCCTTGGATTATGATGTTTTATGATTCACAGCTATATAGCATCCCTGGGAGATGATTAGTGTTAAAAAGAAAGGTGTTAGTGTCAGAGAGCAGCTCAGGAGTGTTAAAGGAGGGCACAATCTTCCAAATCTAATCCAATTCACTTTTTGCCTCCTAATCAATTCTGGGTCAAGTATGTTTTCCATCTGTCCAAGACATATACACACACACACACACATATACATATATGTGTATATGCATATATGTATGTATATGTATATACACTCACAGACTTTAACTGTATATACACTCACAGACTGTCTCTCTCTATATAACACACACACACACACACACACACACACACACACTCAGAGACGAACTCAATTGATTGTCCCTCCAACAGTACGTCATAGTCTAGGCAATAAGCCTTTTTCACACATTTGATTTTCTTTTTCTCCATAGATGGCTAGACTGATCTCTTTTGAATGGCTCTGGATCTTAGTGAGGGAGCATTGAGTGTTCTGGGCCTTGATGCAATCAGCACAATATCATCTACAAATAAGATGACTTCCTATTCTTATCCTTTTCTTGGGTCAGAACCTTTTCCTTTGGCAGTCTGGTGAAGCCGAGGGACCTTTTCTCAGAATGATATTAATGCATAAAATAAAATACATTAGAATATAATATTAGTATAGAATATAAATTGTATTCTTCAGTATAATTGAAACTAATCATAATAGCTCCTATTTAAATGCTGGAATTGGAGATAGAAAGACCTGAATTCAAATCTAGCCTCAGACACTAGCTGTATGACCCTGAGCAAGTCACTCAACCTCCATCTGTATCAATTTCATCATCTGTAAAATGAGGACAATAATAGCATCTGTCCTCACAAGGTTGTTATGGGGCTCCAATGAAATAGCATATGTATAGCTCTTTGCAAAATTTAAAATGCTATTTAGCTGTCAACCATTATTATCATTATTACTTTGAGTTTATAAAAACACCTACATTTAAAAAAAAGACAAACTGTGGGGTAGGTAGTATAAGTAGAACTATCCACATCACAGGTGAAGAAACTGAGGCTCAGAGAAGTTCTGTGATTTCCTCAAGGTCACAGTGAACTAGGTAGATACTGAACGTGTTCCGTAGGGGTATCAAATTATTCTCACACTCCTAAGTGTCAGAGCTGGAACTCAAACCCAGGTCTTCTGACTCCAAGGCTGGTGCTCCTCCCATGATGCCGTGCTGCTTCAAAGAGTGGCTTAAAATATTCTCTCACATTTATTTCCTTTTTGTCTTTACTCTGCAGGCAGGAGATGCTTAACAACTGTTTATTGGATGGG